TATATATATATATATATATGTATGTATAATCACAGATATATTCTTTGTTTTCTGGACTTGGAAGCTAATCTATATCTTTATGATTAGTATATATTAATGTAACAGTTGGTGGTGTGAATGGAATATATTTTAGATTAATATATTGATTCTCTCTTTCAAGTTTCAAAGCATGCATGTGGATGAGAAAAGAAAATAAAAAGTTTAAGTTATTAATTATTGTAAATCCTTAGTTCACGCCTTCACGGGCATGCCAATATGCCTTTGAATATTAATGTCAATTTCGAGCTGGCGATTCTGTAGTTGAATGTGTTTTCATTGGCTTTCTGAAAACGATGTCGTACCAAGTATTCTTGTTGAATGATGTTGTTTTTATACAAATATCAATGATTATGTATGCAAGTTAGTAATTTATGTTATTCTCTTTTGTAAGTGATCCTACATTATGAACTTAATTTTATGAAAACCCCTTTACAGAAAAAAATACGAGTTGGTCATATTTAGAGGACATTGTTTTTTAGACCATACTATAAATCCAAAATTCTGATTATATATACAAAAAAGAATTTGGTTTTGGCTTTTGTTTTTTTGGTGGTATATGGGACACGGGTTAGACCTTAATTTGGCTATTACTAGGTGTCTTTGGTCAAATTTTGTCCATTTTGTTGGACTTATTTGCAATTTGCAGGCCAAGAGAGCATCGTAGTCATCGTTGATTTTACTTTAGATAAGAAAACTAAAATTAAGGTTTAAGAATGATGGTTTCTTTATACAAAATGTCATGTTCATGTAATATTTTTCGTATATATTATATAAATTTTAATCAACACTTTGTTTCTTTCTCGAATAGTACTAATGAGGAAGACAAATTTTGAGAAACACCAATTAACTTGTTTTATTTATTTATGGCTGTTAATCTCTCTGTTTATTTTTTTAATAATGACAAGCAATAATTAAGATTTATAATACTAATATATTTGTTAGGAAATAAATATATCTATAATTAGTCTCCTCTATCATCTTGGCCTTCGTCACTGAACATTGATCTTCAACTTTAATTTAAAGGACTTGTAAATGTTATAACGAGAAGAATTCCGGTGAGCCCATTATTTTTATAATTATATTTAACATAATAATAATTTGTAATAACTAGTCAGTTAACCTGTATAATGCATGGAGATTTAGTTAATATTTTTTATCAATAATAAATTGGTTTTTATCTAGCAAAATATTTTGTTTTATATTTAAAATCATTTTGGAAAAATGATGTAATTATATAAACTTAATACAAAAAAGTTGTATCTTTTTTATGTCTAAATCACGGACAAAGAGTCATCTCCCTTTGTTTCAGAATTGTAAAATAATTAAAAAAAAAATGAAATACAATAACATAATAATTATCTTATTGAAAGAGATAGATAAAAACACAAAATATTATAAATAAACAAAAAATATAAAAATAAGATGTGAAAAAATAAAATGTACACCATTATCATACATATACATACACTTTCTTATTTTTTTTTATACTTTCGTTAAATGTATTTTTATTTTAATGTTATTATATATATATATATATATATATATATAATAAAATCTTAGACTAACTTTTAAAAGGATTGATTTTAATTAAAATAAAAATTATTATTTTCATTTAAAATGTACTTCATTCTAATTTAATCATTTTATATTGTGTGTATTTTTAAGGGTTTTTGATTAAAAATATATTTAATAAAATAAATTGGTATAATTATTCAAGTTTTACTAAGAATAATATACTAACACTTTTTTATAAAAATGGTTAGTAATCATTATTAGATTTGCATTTTAAAAAATATTTTAATTCTTAATTAACGTTAATGATCGTTAGTAATTATTAAAATATTTTTTAACCAAATTGATCCTTTTATTTTGATATATTTATTTATTTTCTTATTTCCAGTAGTATAATATTTTATAATATTGCAAAAATCCAATATTGATTAGTAATTATTAAAATAATTTTATTCAAATTTTAATATATCTTTTTTTATTATTACTTTTAATTATTTTCAGTTGCAATTTATTTATAATAATATTTATACATAAAAATGTTTAGGAGAGAGTAATTGGAGGGAATAAGTTATTCCCTATATATATATAAATGCTATAAATTGGTGTCAATTATTGTTATTTTATTCATAATTTGCGACATTTTGGCAGCAATTATTGAACTAATTTGTGTTATTATTACTAATTAACTAGCTGGTTTATACATATACTGTTGTAACTTTTTGAATGGGTTTTAAGATAACGCGCAAAGAATAAGAATAAGAATGTGAATGGATTGGTGCAGGTGAAAATGGAAGAGAAGAAAATAGTGCTGACGAAGCCAATGACAATAGAAAAGGAATCAGATTCAGACGCGTCTTATAAAGCTCCTAATCTTATGCAACGCATTCTCAGTTTATTCAAAAATGTACGCCCAGGATCTGACCTCACACGCTTTCAGGTACTTCATACAAACATCTACACTTTCTTATTATTTTTCTTAAATCATAATATATATGTTTTAGTATAAGAAATTACTATATATTTCAAATTTCATTAAATCTGTTTTTATTAAGTTTAGTAATGATATGACATTTATGTATTCATATTAGATCCATGTTCATTCTAGACTAGTATATCATATGACAAGTTGAGATGCAAGTCATATCAACAATTAGTGATATTATAAACTATTTTAAAATTTAAAATTAATTAAAAAAAAATTATTAGAAGACTAAAATTAATTAGTACTTGCAGAAAATTTTCTGCAAGGCTGTATTGTGTGTTTATGTGTTTATAATTATGTTTTCATTAGTGTGTATCAAATAGTTGTGTCACCATATTATAGAGAATGATGAAAATCTTGTGCTCAACTTGCAGCTGCCACCACTTTTCAACTTGCCAAAATCACAACTACAGTGTTATGGTGAATCAGTGTACTGCACAGGCTCAGACTTGTTAAGCATGTGCAACAGAGGGCAGAGTCCTTTGGATAGGTTCATATCTGTGGTAGCATGGAGCATATCTACCACTCGCCCTGTGATTTTTGGGGTTGCTCCTTATAATCCTATTCTTGGTGAGACACACCATGTTTCAAAGGGAAATCTTAATGTCTTATTGGAACAGGTACTTGCTCCTCATTTCTTCATACGGCTAAATGCTTAGTTTGGTCACAAAATGCTAAGACATGATCTTATTCTAATTTTTGATAAAGTGATGATAATCATAAAGCAATTTCTGCAACATTGTTTTCCTTTTTCTTCTGATCACATCAATCGTCAATTGTATGCTTTTCTTTGCTTGTTCTACAAAAATCTGTACAGAGAAAATGTAAAAAAATCCAGTTTCTGATATCTCAATTGGTGGCTTTTCTGAGTCAGTCTTTACTAATTAGTTTAAAGTTCAAACATAATGTTTGGCTTGGTCATTTGTGTTGATATTCATTTCCAAGATAATAAGGTTCTTGGTTTACTTGTCTGCAGATTTCACATCACCCTCCAGTATCTGCTCTCCATGCAACAGATGAGAAGGAAAACATTGAAATGATATGGTGCCAGAGACCTGATCCAAAGTTTAATGGTATCTCACTATCATTTGACCTTTTTCTAGAATCATAAGTAGTTCAAAATATCAATACCTAAACTCAATAATAAACTTTCATATGTTTGCCTGTTTGGTCCAAAAGTTTTGAATTTTGAGTGATGGCATGCGAAAGTATGTGATTAATTAATTAATTAATTAAACAGTCACCTGATATCACCAAAAGAGACATTTTTTATATTATGCATTTGTATGGTTACCAATCAGATTTCGAAGTCTAAGATGCAACTATAATTAGACACACTTATTATAAATCCTTTCTATCATGTGCTGCATTTGATAATTTCTGGCACCACAAAAAAAAAAAAAGACTTGCAGTTTGTCAGAGTTATTAGGGTTTAGGGACCCACAATGTCAGAGTTTATCTGACCCTTTAAAGATCTTTCTGATTTTGAATCCAGAACTGTGCATTAAATTGCTTATGATGAAGTTTTTATCACAATTTGTAATGCTAGTCTTGGATGTAATAAATTATTCTTCACCAATGATCAAAATTAAGGCTTCGATTGACTAAACTTTTCAAAATGCACTAATAGAAAATGAAGATAAACTGAATCAAACTTTCAAGAAAATTAAAATTAACTTATGTACCTCAACATTTTAGAAGCTTCCTGTTTAACATTTCAATAAATTGAAGTATATCATATATAAGTTGATTTTAACTTATGATACTGTTGTAATGTACAGGCACATCAGTGGAAGCTAAAGTGTATGGTAAACGGCAACTGAAGCTACTAAATCATGGTGAAACATATGAAATGAATTGTCCTCATCTTGTACTTAGAATTCTTCCCGTAACTGGGGCTGATTGGGCTGGCACAGTAAGTGTACGGTGTGTAGAGACAGGCCTAGTAGCTGAGTTATCATACAGATCAAGTCATTCTTTTCTAGGAATCGGGGGCAATCATAGAGTGGTCAAAGGGAAGATCTGTGATTCTTCATCGTTGAAACTTCTATTTGAAGTTGATGGTCATTGGGATAGGTATTATCTTCCTTCTAAAGCAAGTATTATTATTGAGATAAAATTATAATTCTAATCGAAGAAAAACACCAACAATTATATATAAAGTTTGTTTGGATATAACTTAGAAAAATAAAAGAAATTTTCAATAAGAAAATAAATAAACAATTTTATAATCTAAATACATAAGATGCACAATAGTAGAGAGCAAGAAAGTTCTTTTGGTGAAGTAAAGGACATGTTACACAATTGATTAACTTTTTCACGAGTTATGTGCTTTAAGTTATTTTCAAGAATAGTACCCTTTTAACCATAGTGCATCTTCTTATCCATTTTGTTTGTTATGCAGTACCGTAAACTTGAAGGATACAAGTGATGGGAAAGTAAGAGTTATATATGATGCAAAGGAAGTTTTTTCAGGGATCGGAGCTCCTATACTCAAGGATTTGGAGGTACTAAAATTATATTCTTTGCACCCTATTTCTCTTGCTTTTGTTGTTAATTTATTTCTCATTTCGTTCATGACAAGATCTTCTGCATAACCTGCAAAAGCATTTCTTGATGGGGCATAATGTGCCTAGGAATTTTATTTCATGATTATTTGTAATTGCTGGAAAAGTAAGCATGTTAAATAGTAATAATATATATTTATTGAGGTGCTCTAGAATTAAATAAAAGGGATCGAACCAAGTCTTTTAACTATGTGGTTGTAAGGTCTGTCTTGAAATACAAAAGATCAATTTGATGTTCACAAAATTGATTTTTACAGTATTAAAATGATGTTTGATCAACGAAAATCATAGATTAATGCTTAATTATCAATTTTGAAAAAAATAAAAGACAAGGGATAGAACCAGTTAAACAAATGTGTTATCTTTATGGTGTTGTTTATGTGTTCTTTGGTCATTTTGCTTAAAGATAAGTTTTTCTTCCAAAGAAGAATTTAGATGGATAAGTTAACAAAACATATTTAGCTAGGCACACAAAAAACCATTAAACTTTTTGTTCAAGTGGCTGTGTTGTGTCATGTTTTCATGAATGTGACATGAGATTCTCTTGTTTGTTGATCAGAGTGTGTGGCCAACAGAATCAGCCAATGTTTGGGGTGAATTGAGCCAAGCCATTATGAGTCAAGACTGGGAGAAAGCCAGAGATGCAAAGCAGAAAGTTGAGGAAAAACAAAGGGAGCTCGTGAATGAAAGAGAATCAAAAGGAGAAACTTGGATTTCTAAGCATTTTGTAGTATCTAACAACAAAGAAGGGTGGGAATGTTCACCTATTCATAAGAGTGTACCAGCTGCCCCCATCATAGTCCAATAGTTGTTAATCCTCACTTTTCTCAATCAAGGAAGTACATTTTATTAGAGAATGTTCATGAAAAAAAAAATTAATTGGTGTAAATTTTGATAGGAATTAAATATAAATAACAATTTATAATTGATTACAATTTCAATCATTATTAATAGCACAATTTTTTTTAAAGGACACGATCCTTATTTCAGAAGAGGTAATCCCTTTTGAATTTAATTAAGGATTTAAATATTATAAGATAAAAAAAATATTTACCTTGTTATTCTATAGTGAGTTACCGTATAATAAAAATTGTCGTGTTTTAGTAAATACTATATAAAAAAATCATACCTAAAATAATTTCTAATTAATTAGTAAGATCAGACCTGTTAAAATTAAATTCTGTTTTTTTCAACGATGAAAAAATTCATTTTTCTTTTCATAGACATGTATCAGATTGTGTATCAAACACATTGAGACTAGCTAGTAGTGGGACCAAGTTAGGTTATTCAGAAAAATTGTCTAATGTAGTATGAATTTTCCTTCTTTAAGAGAAATTATGCATGACCATTGATTTGAAAGATGGAAAATAATAGTTAAGAGAAGGAATCGAAGCTGAATATATCTCTAATTAAGAATTAAGAATGACGTGATGAAGCTTGCAAAAGAAAGCAGTAGATGTAGTAAATTGTTTCGTGAGAGCATTTTATATCTATCGAAATGATACTTGTAAAATATTTTGTAATTTTTTTTTTTGAAAAAATCTTGTTTTTAATTTATAAAATTTTTGTTAATATCTTTTATTTATTTATTTTTATTAATTTTAGCTCTAAATCTTTTCTCAAATTATACTTTTACTTTTAAAATTTTTCTTTCTATTGATATTTCACCTTTGACATAAAATATTTTTGCTGCCGAAGAAAAATTTCACGGACTAAGACCAAAAAAATTATTTAGGGACTAAAAATAAAAATTGACAAAAGTTCAGAAATTTAAAATATTTTTTATTATATCACTTATTACATTTATTAATGATAGAAAAATAATTATAAAATATTTAATAGTCATGTACTATTGGTGTAAAAGAATTGCACAATTAAATAATTACAAATAAGAGGGTGTGTAACTTTTAAAGTTATTGTAAAAGTTAACAAATAATACATCGTATAATTTGTTGAACCTATATCATTGCTCTTTATAAACTTGCATATAAAAGACACTCCAAAAAAAATTAAAAATAATAAGAATTATATAATAATGGGTGATTAATCAAGTGTATGAACATTCATAGGGTGAAATTTATAAAAATAAAAAGATAAAATTGTGATTTATAAAAGAAGATAGAGAGGTAAAATTGAATAAAAATTGTGTACATCAAAAGGATTGTTTCCTTTTATTATAATTATTATAATTAATGAAATCAGTTCGTGTCTTTGTATTTTATTTAATAAAAAATTAAAAAGTATCAATGTTTGTAAGATGAATTGGTAGTGTACTTGATCTTTTAATCTTAAGGTTTCAAATTTGAATCTTATATTTGTAAAGATAATTAATTTTTAATATTATTTTTTATTATTTTAAATTTAAAAAATAAAATTATACGCCAAATCAAATTATATAATTTTTTAATATATTTATAGATTATATAGATTATAGATAATGGATGATTAAAGCAAAACATCAGCAATTATAAGATGACATTTATGAAAGAAGAAAAATATGATTAAAAAAATTGTGATTTATGAACGATCCAGATGATATTATTATTCATTGTGCACAAGGTATTTTTTTTAAAAGAATAATAATTATCATATACAAAGAATAAAACTTAAATGTGGAAAACAATCATCAATGAATTTAATATATAAAACTATAAGAATATAAAATATAATATTTTTAAATAAATATATTAATAATTTAATTATTAAAGTGAGAGAGTGTATCTGTCCATCTAAGTTCGTCATTGTCCATGTGTATCAAAATTTAATTTATACTTATTAAAATTCTCTTATAATTTCTTTAGATAAGTTCGTCATTGTCTATGTGTATCAAAATTTAATTTATACTTGTTAAAATTTTCTTATAATTTCTCTAGTTATAAGAATTTTTGAATAGCAAGAAGTTTTTATGAATAGAGATTAAAATATGATACATACAGATTGTGATATGAAATAAGAAATTAGATGTAATTGTCTATGATGATATAAAAAAATATAATTTCACAGATTGTAAATAAATTTTTAACTTCAAAAACTAAATTGAAAAAATATAAAAAGATGAAAAAACATAATTACAATTTTCTTAATTTAAGGATCTAATTAAAAATTCTAAAAAAATTAAGAATCAATTAAATGTATTAAACCTTATTATTTTTAATCAATCAAATCAATTTGTTTTTCTACATATAAATTTTGATTAAATTATTAAAATTGGTTTAATGATAAGAAATTCAAATATATATATATAAGGTATTAAATTCAAATCTTGATATTCTCATTATAATTTTAATGAATATATTTCGGTAAAAATATAAAGACTTATGAAATTTGTAATAGTTTCGACAATCATTGCGTTTCCACCACAGTTACCATGTAATTTGCTAAACTGTTTTATAATAGCCACTACTATATTATTAGTGCTATTTTAAAAGCTTAGGCATGTGCTAGTTTTTGTCAAAGTCATCGTTAGCTTGGCCAAACTTCATGAGTACAAGAACAGCTAAAGTCTATCTGGTATTATACCCCTTATTGATCGAGTTGGTGCTCATAAGGAAGAAATTACTTCTTGGATACAAGTTTGGCCATCAGACACAACAACAATATTGAGTTTAATCATTCCCTTTCCCTTCATTTTTCTTAAAAAGAAAGTTTATTATAAATCTAACTCAATAATATAAAATTAATTTATAAAATAAGAATTATCTTTTTTTTATATACATTATTACGATCTTATTATTAGTTGACATTTGAACATCTAAATTATAAAAACATCATAAATTGTTTGTATCCTAATAAATTTAGTAATCTACAAACCACAAGCAGAAATTAAATTTCTCTTGATTGCTTGGCCCAAAAATTGTTAATGAAATCTGCAAAAACTGAAAAATCAAGTGCTTAATCACTTGGATCATGCCTTGGGGAACATTCATAAATACAAGAAGAGAATTATACACAAGAAATTTTCACTTTTCAAGACCAATTGTCTCAAACATCAAACCACAACACCTAACTTGCCTCCATCCTTTCTAGTGTTACCTCAATTCAAGGTCTTCTCAAACATCAGTTATATTCTTGCAAATCTGACTCACTCCTCTTATTGAAGGACTTCTCTCTGATGGTGTCCAAGATAGGTTTCCATGGCTGCATTCGACACGGGCTTCGGCCAATTTGCTCAAGCCTGCCAGGGCTCCTTGAAGGTGAAGAACTCCAAACATGGCTTGAAAAAGGACCATCTTTGAGAGAGGACTTTTTGTCCTCACATTTGCTTGTGTTGGCTATTGCAGTGAGCCTCTTTGCAAGGGAAGCCAAGTTCACAGGAGAGACATCAGTTTGGAGAATTGAGTAAGGTAGCATGAAGTACACATTCCCACGTTGGAGTTGTGTGTCTCCATTCAGTGGCTTTGAGCTAGATGAAAGAAGCTGAACTGAGGTACAAACAAAGTGCTTTGAGGGTGTGCCTGTGACTTGTTTCACTGAAATTGGCTCCTCAAAATCCTCCACATAGCCACTGAGATGAACCAAACGAACACTATTGTTGAATTTGGAGGATGGTTTGGAGGAAAAACAGCCTCCCATGTTTTTTGGTATGATGCACAATGAAAGGGTAGTAATAGTCTAATACTATATAGTATACTAATAAGGTTGTGCTTCTACTTATGTGTATGACTATGTTAATGTTAAATATACTATATAGTATAGACAGCAACTGGGATTTGATTATTGATGCGTGGTTGGATGAGTTTCTTGTTTTTTAAGCCTTTTGGAGATGAAATGGATGGTTATTGGTTACCTAAGGAGTGGATTCTTTTCTGACTGGTTCCTTGTGTTTATCTCATTGCGGATTCAACTTCAAGGACACAAAAAGGGTGGCTATTAAATTAAAGTGATTCTGCTTGGAAAGAAACAGAAGGTGATGATGCCTCACCATGTGGCCAATAAAGGCATTTATATATGTTAGTTTGAGTGAGAAATTGTCTGTAGTGTGCAATGACCATGTTCAACACTTCAACCAAAAGCAGAAACCACCAATTGGACACTTCTTTTCAAACACCATAATTTCTAACCCAACCGTATGAAATGGGTAACTGACCAAATCGACCTGACCCCTTTTCCTCTAAAGGTGATGCCAACTTGAACCGTTGAAACATTCAAACTGGAACCAAATTACTAAATATAATCGCCAGGAATGCTAATAAAAGACACCTTCTAACGATTTCTTTTTAATATTTTTCTTATTATTAGTTGAAATTGATTAAAAATTAAAAATTTTGTGGGTCCCATTCTTTTAAAAGTAAATTATAAGTCTAATTCAATCTTATAAAATAATTTGAAAAATGATGATTAATCTCTTATACATCCATAGGGATGATAATGAGGCCCCATTGAGGTGGGTAATAGTAAACTCACTCCCGTCCCGCTAGATAAAAATTGGCTTCATACTCATTCTATATACCTGCGGATATCCATGAATATTCATGGATATTTATAAATTTTTTAAGAAATTAAAAAAATTATATTACAAATAATTTTAAGTTTATATTTAATGTAATTGAAATATTAAAAATAAAAATTTAATGTTAATTTTGAACTTGTATTTAACGTTAATTTTGTTAAAATAATAATAAAAATGTAAGATAATCAATAATTTAAAATACATCAATCTCACAAGTAAGTTAAAGTCTCATCACAAAGCTACAATAATTCAATCTCATAATTCCAAACGAAAGTAAACAACTTAAAATATATAAATTTTATTAATCCAATCAAAGATAGAAAATTAATCAAATTACATCCAACATAATTCTATAACATGCTTAACACATCTTAGTAACTTCATCAACCCCACTTTTATAAGAAAAAAAGATGAGAAAGTGTAGTTTTAGAGTTATGTGGTACAAGGATAATTAGGATATTTAAGAAATATTATTAAACGGGTACCCGCGGGTATGAATATCATCATACCCACTCCCGCCCCATTTATAAACGGGTAAAAAATTATCTGTCCCCATTATCCGCGGATACCCAATTAGTCTATCTATTTATTATCCGTAGTGGATTTTATCCGCAGATACCTGCGGATACGATTATTTTTGTCATCCCTATACATCCTCTATTATTGAAGACCAAACATTTCAAATATGAGATTTGTAAAACTAAAAAATGAGGCATGATCTAATAATGACCCAATAAGGCATGATTTGAAACATTCAATTCTCATCCATCATATATTAGAGTATAAGAAAGAGGATGATAAATAGAGTGTGGCTAGAAATTTTCTTTTAACCATACATGGAGAAGTAAATTCAACAACAACAAGACCATAATTGCATTGGCTTGTGATATTTTTTTGGAAGTGTCTTGGCCGTGAGGGTAGGGTGAGAAGCAGTGCCATTCATAATGCTAGAATTAACCATATGGTAGGTCCCTTTGATTGTGAGGGAAATAAAAATTAAACAGTGGAAAGTGGACTTAGAAAACTTGGTGTTGACTGAAGTATATGAAACGCAAACTTTTCACAAACTCTTTACACTTGTGACTTTGACCCTTTTGTTTTTATGGTAGTAATCTTCATCATGTTGCGGTGCTACAATGGTACCTTTTGTTATGTGCCAAGTTTTTGCTAACATGTATGTGGTAGGTAATCTTATTTTGAATGCATTTATCTTAGAGTGTGACATACGCATCCATTATTCTATGCTATCAATCACAATTATAATTACATCTCTGAAAAAGAAATTGCACCTTGGATGCAAATTGCATAGCATTGGATAACTTAAGTGAGTGGATTTAATTTTTTTTATATTTATTATTAATACACAACCTACAAAGATGGATTGTGCTACAAATTTTGCAATAGGAGGGAAATTGAGTGCTAACAATTTTGCAACTTAATGATTGCTCCATCTCAGGTGGAGTGTAATAATGGTATATCTAAGTTTTTTTTTTCTTTTTTTTTTTTATTGGTATAACTCGAGTTTGGAAAAGATTTTTCTCGTGATTTCTTAAAGGAAAAAGCTGTTTAAAGAAAATAGATATTTGAAACAAAAGCTTAAATGTGTGAACAGTTTTTTTATTAAAAAAAAAAGTTGTTTTCTTAAGTCTGAAAAATTGAATTACAGTTATTTTTAATGCTTTTTTTTTCCTTGCTGAAGT